AAGTGTGAAGAAGATAAACTATCATGATCCAAGTTTGAATGACTGAATACAATGATAGCGTCGTGCCGCGACGTTAAATGAGGTGCTTCTTGGGAGGTAACCCATGCAAGGTACGTTTACTTGTTTTATTTTATTTTTGCACATTTCAAAAAAAAACCAGGGGATTGAACCCGGTCGGGTATGAAACCCAACCCGATCGGGTCCATTCATAAAATACATCATCCGGCCCAATCACCAGGGCGAGGGAGTTGTGGAAAAGAAAAAATCAAAACACCCGACCGGGTCTGCTACACCACCCGGCTAGACGTTTTGCCTCTGAACCCTCTGGAACGAAAACCCGTCCGGGTAAAAGTCAAATTTTTAATAAAATAAAGAACACCCAACCGGGTCACATACCCCACCCAGCCGGGTCATCGGGTTTTGACAGCAAAAGGGTCGGGCAATCCTCTTTCTTCCCAATTTCTCCTTTCCCCCATACGAACCACACCTCTCAAAACCTCCATTTTCGCACCTCAAACCTTCAATCCCCCCTATTTCTCCACCAAATCCATCACTTGAACACATTTTCTTCTTCTCCTCAACACCCTCTTCCATTTTCTACCCAAAAATCCCACCCAAATCCATCCCCAAAAGAAATCAGAATTCCCTAACTCCACCTACACCAAGTCAGAACTTTTGCTCAACTAAAAAGAAAATAAATGACACCAAAAAGGGCAAATGGGTTCATTCTAGTGGACATCTCAGACACAAGCACTAGGGACAATGCTTTGGTTAGCTTGAGGGGAGAGTTTTATGGAATACTCACATTCATACTCTTTATTCTTGTTTAAAAAACCAAAAAACAAATTAATAAAAGCTTGTTAAGTTGAAAATCTGAAAGGGCAACTTAAGCAAAAATAAAGCAAAAATAAGAGTGAGCTGTGAGGATTAAAAGAGAAAACTGTGGGAAGCGGGATGAAAACCAGAAAGGGCACCTAGGCAAAATGAGAGAATGAGAGAAAGTATTTTCTTTTATTTCTGCAGGATCCTAAGGGTAATGAAAAAAAAGTTGAGGTTGATAAGAAATATGGAGTTGAAGACCCCTTTTTACTGTTATATTTTTGGGGATATACTTTATGTGTTTCTAAAAACACTCTTGGATTTTTGTGTTGATACTCTTATCATTTTAAGAACTTCTTGGACTGGATTTGATTTACTCAGGACGAGTAAAGGTTTAAGTGTGGGGGTGTTTGAAATGCACTAATTAGTAGTGCATAAGTGTATCTTTTTATGTTTGATTTGTGTGGATTGTTTACCGTTTTATTTAGTTTGTAAACATTTGTGTGATTTTAGTTGTAATTGTATTTTAACCTTCATTTGTAAGTTGTAAAGTAGAATTAGGAATTATGGTGTTGAAAAGGAGGACTTTGAAGTGAAGAAAAAGGGATTTTGACAGTCCAGGAGCAATTACTCGACCGGGTAGAAGACTTGACCCGGTCGGGTCTGATTTAACAGACGAAGTTACCTGGAAAATCACTGGACCCGGTCGGGTCCCCTATTCCACCCGGTCGGGTCAGATGTGACCCGGGACAAAACGACGTGCTGAAGATCACCAGAACGTGGAGGATATCTGATTTTGACCGGATCCGGTCGGGTAGGCACTTGACCCGGTCGGGTACCCGACCAAAGGTGTTGAAAAACACCTATAAATAACACACCTTTTCTTCTCTAAATATCATCCCTTATTCCATACTCTTAATCTCAGTTTAGAATAGCATTTCTTTATATTTTTCTAGCTATGTTTAGTCTCCAAATGAGGACCTAAACTTTCAAATCTTGGTTTTGCTACTTTGAAGCTTAATGAATTGTAAGTTGTGAGTTATTTTCTTTAATCTTCTTCCTTGAGTATTAATTATTAGTTCTTTCCTTAATACTATTTGTGTATTAATGTTGGGGAGTGTTGCTAAGATGACAATTAGTTAACATCTTGACATTAGTTATAGTAGTATTTTCTTCCACTACATTAATGTTGGGGAGTGTTGCTAAGATGACAATTAGTTATCTTGATATTAATTATAGTAGGATTCATCTTCTTTAATAATATTCTTCCTTGAATATTATTTAATTCCTATTCATATTTCATATTAATATTTTGAGCATTACTTAAAGGATCAACTAGTTTTGATTCATATATTAATTATTACTATAATCAATCGATTAATACGCTTGTTAAAATTCGGTTCGTTCAACGGTAGTAAACTTAGATTATTAATGCATGCGTCTCATGGTTAATAATCTAAGGGGAATTAATTATATTGATTAAACCAATAAACCGCTTGTGTTGAGGTTATCAATCTCAATCGTTTTCATCTTAAGTTTATTGCTACTATCGGGTTAATATACGGCGCGTGTTCTATATTGACTCGGTAGTAAGTTTTATTAATGAACGTGTCTCGTTATTAATAACTACCCTCGATGAACTGGATATACTTCTCGATTGAGTATTCGAGAGGAAGATATTTAAAGATATAACCGGGATCGACGAACATTTCAATAAGTGGATAAAAGCAAAACCAAGTCACCATCTCTATTAATTAAACTCATATAGGTTGTTCATCTTAGTATTATTAATTCAAATCATAAAAACCCCTCTTGTTACTATAATTTAATTAAAAGAAAAGTATTCATTTCCCTGTGGATACGAACCTTACTACGCTATACTACGTATTAGTGTTGTATTGTATTTATTATTTTGAGTGCACATCACGACAAAGGGCACGTCAAACCACAAATTCTTTACTTGAAAGGGAAAGTGGCAAAGTTAGTGAGACATCCAAAAAAGGAAAGTTGGTAAAGTTATAAGGGACGGGGAGAGTATCTAATAGCACTACATGTGAGAAAAAAATTCTCTCGATCAATTGTTTTAGCTGGCTTATCTTATCTTATCTTATCTTATCTTATATGCCTAAAAGCAGTACGTATGAGAGAGAGAAATCACTCGCTTAATAGTTAGCCGACATATCTTATCTTATACCCAAAAGACTACGTATGAGAGAGAGAATTTTTTCGTTTAATAGTTAGCCGACTTATCTTATTTTCTTATAGTTAAAAGCACTACATTTGAAAGAGAAACTTTTCTCGCTCCAGACTTATCTTCTTATTATACCTAAAAGCACTACGTGTCAAAGAGATATTTTTCTCGCTCAAGTGTAGCCGGCTTATCTTCTTATACCTAAAATCACCACATTTGAGAGAGAGAATTTATCCGCTCAATTGTTAGATGACTTATCTTATACCTTAAAGCACTATGAATGAGTGAGAAAATTTTGTCGCTCAATTGTTAGCCAGCTTAACTTTAATTATACCCAAAAGCACTCTCTGTATGAGAGAGAAAAATCTTCCGCTCAATTGTTTGCCGACAAATTCTATACCTAAAAACACTACATGGGTAAGAGAAAATTTCCTCGTTCAAGTTTTATCCGGCTTATCTTCTTATCTTCTTATATACCTAAATAAAAGCACTACACATGAGAGAGAAAATTATACCGTTCAAGTTTTAGTCGACTTACCTTATGTTCTTATATCTAAAAGCACTACGTATGAGAAAAAAATTATCTCACTCAATTTTTAGCCGACTTCTCTTATATCTAAAAGCACTATGTGTGACAGAAAATTCTCCCGCTCAAGTTTTAGCCGATTTATCTTCTTATCTTCTTATATACATAAAAGCACTGCATATGAAAGAGAATTTTATCGACCACCCCTACACATAGGAGTAAAACAAACTTTAGTAATGGATTAAGTTGTGTTTTATTTTCACTAAAAGGCCCGATTTGTGGAATGAAAATATAAATATGTTACATTCAATTAAAGTTGACCAAAATGCTCAATTTGTGGGATGAAAACACAAATATATTATATTCAAGTGTCATTTTCTCCATCCAACGTAACACTCCTTTCAGTTTTCAGAGAAAACAATTTCCAATTATGATATGGTTTGCAATGAGCACAAACATGAGTTAAGGTCAATCTTTATCTCAGGTTGGATTATATCTCGAGGAAAATGTCTTCACACCCGATCAATTGTATGTTGTCATATCAAAGGTCATGAACAATATTTGATAAAACATTTTAATTCATTCTAAAGATTATGTCTCTTAGTCATTCCAAGTTATAAATTCTATATTCTTTATTATTCTATTAAATTATATCATCATATTAATAAACATTTCAGTGCATTTGTCAATGAAAATTATAAATTCCAAAAACAATACAAAAGAAACATTATACATATATATAAACAATATATAAATTACAAATTCCATATGGGAGTTGAACCGGGGGCAACGTCCGCACACAAAACTACTTATTCAAAAAGGAAAACTGTCAAATAGATCCTCGAAATTTCATAAAAAGGTCAATTAAGTCCTTCTATAGGAGGTTCTGACCGGCCTTCGTGATTTTGTGCGGTTCCCAGTGGAATTTTTTGATGAATTTTTTTGAGCATCTTATTCACCAAGTCTAGTTTACTCATACCAAATTTCTGCTAAAAATTCAATCAGAAACACATTCAAATTAATTCTTGAAGATAACTGCGCATTTTTGGGTTCTCGAATTAATATGAATGCACTCTCGATTAAATTTTTAGCTGAAATTTGGTATGAGTAAACTAGACTTGATGAATAAGATGCCTAAAAAATTTTATCAAAAAATTTCACCAGGAACCGCCCTAAATCACGACGACCGGACAGAGTCTCTTATAGAAGGACTTAATTGACTTTTTTATGAAAGTTTGAGGACCTATTTGACAGTTTTGCCTATTCAAGATAGTGGAGTTAGTACCCCCTCCGTATCATATAATTCTTCCCACATTGACTTACTCGCATATTAAGGAGATGAGTGTATAGTGGAAATGTATGGTTGTAATTGTGTAAGAAAAGGATAAAATGAACGTTGAGTCACAAAAATTGTCAAAATATTGTAAGTGAATTTTTTTTAGAATAACACAAAAAAGAAAATTGGAAAAATTTTATAGAAGGGATCACATTGAATTTGTCACTTTCAAAGTACCATCTGTTGAGGAGAAAGGATCACAGAACAAAATATTTGAAGTGTGGCGATGGCGAAAGAGAACGAGCCGGCCAAATTGCTCCTGCCTTACCTCCAAAGAGCGGATGAGTTGCAGAAACACGAAGCGCTCGTTGCTTACTACTGTACGTTCCTTTCCTAATCTTCATAAACCCTAAACTCTTGTGGGACCTCCATACAGTTCATCGCGTGTATTTGAATTTGATTTATTTTGTAGTTATATGGTGTGATTGATGCCCTTTTCCGCAGGTCGGCTGTATGCAATGGAGCGGGGATTGAGAATTCCCCAGAGCGAGCGTACAAAGACCACCAATTCCCTGCTTGTTTCTCTAATAAATCAGCTCGAAAAGGTCTTTTCCTTATGTTCTGTATTTATGCTGTGTATCTATTTTCTTCATGATGTGAAGTCTTACCAATTTTAATCAAGCATGAAGTTTAGCATTTTAGTTTTCTTTCACTATTAATCTGAGCATATGGATGTTTGTTGTCAATGAGTGTTTCTAATATTAGCATGCGTTGTTGTTCAATTGAGCCAAATTTTATGATTATGGAGTTTTACTCACATCAAATTAACATTCAACCACCAACTCCATCATACTTATGAATCTATTTTCCAAATAAGCTAAAAAATATTCTGCAATTCATAATCCTTGACGAACATGTGCATAGTGGATCATTGAAAATGTAATGTCAAAAATCTAGTTCAAACACTTTAACCACAGGCACATTGGGCCTTTAGTAATTGCTTTTGGTTATTCTTTTATTCTTGTTTATGAGTTCTCCCGCGAGCTGTGTCTTGGCAAGCTCAAGACAGGGTATTCCTCCCCCCAAAGGGGTGGGATAACGTCTCATTCATAGCCAACTCTCTGCTTCATGGGTTTGTAGCTGTTTGTTGAACTGTTTGATGTTTTATTAACTTTGAAATATAATTGAGTTGGAACATTTAGTGTTTTTATTGCTTAGGTAAACCTTCGGGAGAGACAAACCCTGTCATAGTATGAGTATGGCTCTTGTAATAGCTGTATAAGTGTCTACAATATTGATTAATAAACAACCTTTGAAGAATTAATTCTTGCGTGTCTTGACAAGGTCGGACAACGATTAATCCTAGCTTAGGGGTTTTTCGTTTTCTTTCCTGTTCTCTTTGATATCCCAATATGAAACAAAGACACTTGTTAAGTGCTAAGGTATGTATGCTGGGAACATCATTAAAAAACTATATGTTATACGACGAAAGTGTTTTAAAAAAGAAAAGAACAAAATATCCTATATAGACTCATATAATTACGAACCACACCAATCTTATAGCTGCCTCCTGACCTCCTCTTCCTGTCTCACTACTTGACAATTTCAATGCTTCAAAGTCAGAGATTTTGTCCTTTTTTCTCCCTCCATCTCCCTCTCCTTCTCCCTCCTTTTTATCTTTGGTAAAATATTATTCTCATTAATATTGCTCATACTTTTCTCACTTTCTTTGTGAGTTTAACTAAATTTATGATATGTAACTATTCGTGATTCTTATGTTGTATGTTTTTTGGCAAATTACTTGAAAAATAAGCTTTTTTTGGTCAAATTGGACTACTTTTTCGAAAAATATTTGAACAAGACTCTGTTTGGGCTTGAGGGGGTAATATTTTCCTTTTCGCATTAGTGTTGGTATCCTTTTTTTTAGTTATTCCTAATATCGATAGTTGTATTAGTGTGGTACTTTACTTGCTAACCAAGGACTCTTGGTAGAAGTATAAGCAGCAGTTTCTTTTTCCAATAAAAGTATTTTCTCCCTCCCTTCCTGATCAAAAGATAACATCACATTCCATTTTGGGATATCCCCACTTATATTTTCTTGTTTCCTAAAACGGTTAAAAATGAGTGAGGACCATGACAAAAAGGTTTTTCCTGAAATAATAGCTTACCAAATCGAGTGAATAGAAATAGATGCGTTAAAAAATAAGTGTTTGGTACCGTATCATTGAGATGGAGGTAGTAGTAGCATTTTGCTTAATCACGTAAGAATTTGAAAAAGTCAAGTGTTGAGCCTTTTACCCTGATCTGGCATGGACAGGAGTAATCATACTGTATGAACAAGACAAAGTGTGAAGTACTTCAATTTAGGAAATTCTAGACTGGAACAACTCGAGACAGAGGCTGCTGGTGAACTAGTTATATTACATATTTACATCAGATTTTATAAGGGCTTATGGTCTTCAGCTGTTCTAATGAGTTAAAATTTTAAATCAATATGGGGCTATTAACAGGATTTAAATCTTAGAATAAGTCGATATATGGACCTGGAAGTTCAGCACACTTTGTACTTATTAAGCTTATGACTCAAGAAGCCCTAAGTTGTTTTTTCCTTCAACACCTTAACAATCTGAGGTATAACCTTCTCTAATCTGCATCATTATTCAAGCATCAGGGGATTTTCTATTACTTGAAATCGAGGGACACCTCACATTGGTTTTTTAAACAATGTATATATTGCTGGTCATTGCTATTTAGAACATATATTCTCAAGTCTGTGTGTGGAGTTAAAGTATAGGTTGCCTAAAATTCATTCACTGTTATGTGTGTGTGTCTTCTTGTTTCCTTTCTTTGTATAGGATAAGAAGTCACTGCAATTGGGACCTGATGACCATTTACATGTGGAGGGATTCGCTTCAAGTGTTTTCTCAAAAGCAGACAAACAAGATCGGGCTGGACGAGCTGACTTGTAATATATGTTTTTCTCTTTGCTTGTCATTTTCATTTTCTATGATAACATTTCTAATCATTGATGTAATATTTCTAAATAATGTTATGCAGATAAACTACTATCATTGAGATGTCTATGTGACTATGTTTATCATTCCTTGGTCCAGTATATGGTTCTTATATTTTATGGGAAATGCAACCTGTTACATAGTTTTAATTGGTTCTATATTATAATACGCTGTTCAGAAAGTATTCTTCTGTGATCTCACAGAGAACTAATCTTCATTTTCTCTGCATTGCTTTTGGGATTTTACAGGAATACTGCAAAGACTTTTTATGCTGCAAGTATATTCTTTGAGATTCTAAATCAATTTGGTGAACTTCAACCTGATGTGAGTTTATGCTCCTCTTTTTGGTGTTCCTTTGGTCCCTCTTATCATCTTATGAGTTTGTCTTGGAAAATAGCCAAAATTAAGATTGTGGATATATAACTTTTTTGGTTAGTTAATGATGACCACTTATAATGACAAAAAAGGAGTAGATTATTTGAGCCGCTTCAGTTAGTCCTCTTGAGACTAACCAAGTTACTCCAGACATTTTCCTAGCAGGCCGTGTTAGTTTTTCTGATTCTGTCCCACCCCTAGGGGCTAGGGATAGTTTAGAAAAATGATAGAGATATTTTTAGGGTCTGGTTTTAACTTGGGAAATGTCAAGGAACATGTAATTGTAATATGATTAACGTTTCAAACATTAATTATTTGACTTGGACCAATGCTTTATTTTCTTTTCTTCCAAATTTCCTCTCTACCTTCTTTTCCTAGCATTTTCCAAATTCCAAAAGGGCTCTTAGTATGCCATCCCGAAGTCATTGATCTCTCTCTCTCTCTCCAGCTTGAACAGAGACAAAAGTATGCAGCATGGAAGGCTGCAGACATTAGAAAAGCTTTGAAAGAAGGAAGGAAGCCTGTTCCAGGACCTCCTGGTGGTGAGAGAGATTCACCGGACATGTCAAATTCTCCCTCAGGTGAATATGTAAGTATAATTGACGCTTTATTGAGTTAGTTCTTCACAAACTCGGTATTTTCCAGACATGAATCCAAACAAATTTAACTATATGATGTTTGCAGGATGTTGAATTTCACAGGAGTGATATGTTGGCCAAACCTTCAACAGAATTCAACTCATCCCCTCATCATGTTGATCATAATTCACAGCATTACTCTAATATGCAGCCTCGTCCAGAAACAATGCCTCAACCACCTTCACCCCATGCTCCTTCACCTCCTTCATATCCAACTGACGACTATCAATCTCATATTTTCCAACAACATCCTCCTCCGAATAACAAAACTGAAAACGACTATCAATCTCATAATTTCCAACAAACTCCTCCAAATCACAATCCTGAGAACCCTAGTTATTCTCCGTCCTACAATCATCAACCTTACATGCAAGAGACCCACCAGACAACTTTGCCTCAACAACACTATCATCCTCCTCCACATGATGGTTCCTCCTTCTCATATCCCAACTTCCAATCTTACCCTAGTTTTGCAGAGACTAGCCTCCCTTCTGTCCCTTCTCATTATCCATCTTACTACCAAGGCGCCGATGCTTCTTCCCATTCGGTGCCGGTGCCACCTTCTAATGCAGCGACCCGCCAATCAACCTCTCCTTACACTCTAAGTGACAGAAATGGGCCAACCGCAGAAGCTGCACCACGTACTGTGACCAAGGCATATCAGTACGATAGTAACTACGAGCCTTCACCTGAGAAAATTTCAGAAGCACACAAGGCTGCAAGGTTTGCAGTGGGAGCTTTAGCATTCGATGATGTTTCTGTTGCTGTCGATTACCTCAAAAAATCTCTTGAGTTATTGACAAATCCCTCGGTTGGGAATTGAGTGATAGCCAAAGTTAACTAAATCCCTCGGTTGGGAATTGAGTGATAGCCAAAGTTAACTAAAAGTTTGAGTGAATTACATCATATTATCCTTGTGCAGTCATTTTAATATTTCCCAGTTTGCTAAATATTTGCTGCAATTGTGGATGCATGGATGTTCATATTAATATCGTCTCACTTGCCATTGTTTTAGCACTGTTCTACAAATTGGGCTAGGCGTGTGTTGCCTAGGAGCTAGATGATGACCAGGTGCCTGATTTTGGCAAAGTGGACTAGAACAATCAGCCGGTGGATGAAGTGGGTAGGGGAGGACTGATTCTGATTCTGGATCAGCCGCTTTCCCATTTGATGTACTGGTATCGGGCGAGCTAGTGTCTGGTCTGATTCCAGGCATGTAATAATAAAGAATATGATAAATGAAATCATTGAAGGGTTAAAATCGTAGACATAGTAACATACATGATATATGGGGAAACTTCTAACATTCATATAAATTATTCAAATGCTTAAATTTTATTGAAAGATTTTAAAGAGATTACAAATATAAAATATTAGTAGATTGTAAAAGTCAAAGTGTTGGATTTATTTAAGAACGAAACGGAGGTAGTATTAGTTTTTCTCTGTTTAACAGTTGCAACACTCCTCTTACAATGTCAAAATAATTGTCTCTTTTGGTAACATAAAATAGCCTCAATGACTACAAGGGCCATAGCACCCAAGTTACAGCCATGTAAATTGTAATCTTAAAATTCGAATTATACCCTTCGTAATCTCCATGGCTTACCCATCGTATGTGTGTATACATCTGTATGGCAGAAGGAGAGACCATAGCCATGATCCTCGGTCACCCACTCACTCTTTATGAAATACAATAATAATCTTCATCATCAGATCATAACAAAGAGTATCATAATGAGCAAGTTAAATCGAAGGGATTAAAGATTAATACAATAATACTATCTCCTTAACATTGATATCTTTCCATTTAAAAGTAGGTGAGATTAAGAATAGTGAAAATGTGAAATAAGATACTCTATAAATAATTGAGGGTAAGATGGAAAGGTAATGAAATAGTGAGGTGGAATAAAGGATAAGTTCAAAAAAAGTAATTGTAATAGTGTATTATTTTCAAAATTATTGAGGGTATGATGAGAAGATTTAGAACTGAGAAGATATAAATGTTACAGATGAAAAAGTAAAGTGGGAAGATATGAACATTACCAAGAAGGGAGTATTTTAACTGCTTAGCTTCTTGTAGGTTCACAAAAGTGGTGGACATATTTCATATTTCATTTTCAAAATCTTTAAATGCCCTGCAAGTCTTGCAACATCTAAGAAAAATATGTTAATAAACATGAAAATAAAAGAGCGACATTGTTGATAAGTTTCAATGATATTTCTATAGTCCCTAATACTATCGTATTAATTTTCCACAATTTAATAATGGGGTTCTTTAATAATATATCAATAATGTTCTTTCAAAGATGGATGCAAGTTAGCCTTAAATCTGGGAATAACCTTAAGTATCTTCTATTTCAACATACAAACAAGTCTTTAGAAAACATATACACCCTCTGTCCCAATTTAAAGATGCTCTTTCATTTTACACACAATTTAAGAAAGTTGCATAGTTTGGTACTGTTCGAATGCTGTTTGACACTATTATAAACCTATTTTGTTTAACAAATAAGGAAAGATGTTTTTTTTATGGACGACCCGAAATGGAAAGAATAATTTTTAAATAGGGATGGAGGGAGTAATATGTAAGACTTGATGGTTTCAAATAAATTATCAATGTTGTTAGTTGCAGTAGTAAAGTTTTGGCACAACCGAATATGAAAAATTGGTCTACATTTTAGTGTGCTGAAGGTTGTATACTATACATATGGATTTATCATTTGTATAGTACATCGGAATAATTAAACGAATATTTCTCTACTACAAAATGATCATCTTAATTTGCATGTATATATGTGAATGAGTATTTTGGGTGCACCAGCTTTTACAAATAAGTTGAGAGAAAAAACTTATCATAGACTTAAATCAGTGCTCGCTAAATTACAATTTTATCTAAAAATGTCTTTAATAGACTAATATATTTAGAAATCTGCCTAATATATATTTAGGAAACTACCTAATATATATTTAGAAATACTTTGAATTTTCGCAACTCTTCTATTATAAATATATGTCAAGGCTTCTATTGGAGTACCCTTTCCCATTATTTCACATGGTATCAAGAGCTCTAGGTTTGTAGATACACAATTTCTGTTTTTTCTTTTTTTTTTCTGGTTCCCATGAACCCTAGTACAGCCGCTGCCGCCTTGGGGTCGACCGCCGCCACACCTACGGTAGTCTCCAATCCTTTGAGGATGAGCGCGGCTGATATGACGCAGATCACCTTCCCCACGTCGCTGACCACGATGCCTTCTTCCAGCGTACCGATGAGTTCGCCGCCTGCTGCTGCCTACGTCCGCGCAGCCCACATTCTTCGCGTCGTTGAACACGGTGCTTGCTTCTAGCGCATTGTTGAGTCCGCCACCCGCTGCTGTAGCTCCATTCTCTAGTCGAGTTCGGTTCGACCGCTCGCACAGCTGTTCCAGAGCGCTACGTCTGTTCCACTCTCTCTAGCGACCCTGGCATGATTATGTCGTCTTCTGTCAGGCCAGTTGTTCGTCGGCCGAGATCCTCTTGGCTGCCCACTTCATTCGCTACTCTTGCTCAAGGTATCTTCAAGGGTCTTCAAATTGTGGACAATATTTGTTGTCTTTCTTGGTCCTAATTTGGTTTCTTGGAATTTCTAGAAACAACCTACTTGCTCATGGAGATCTTATTGTTAAATATGTGCCTCCTAACCTTCCGCCGGCGGATATAATTACTAAGAGTGTTTTTTGTTAGTTTGCAATTTCATTTTTTAAATTAAAAGACAACCTGCGCGTTGTATCTCCCGCACAGTTTGAGGGGGTGTAATAGACTAATATATTTAGAAATCTGCCTAATATATATTTAGGAAACTGTTGGAAGTATGCCCTAGGACAATCATACTTTATGATTTATCAATGAATATTTAATGCTCATTAATTAATAAAGTCACAAACTCATTTTATATTAATTATTATTGTGAGTTTTCTTTATTAATATTTAGTCCCTGAATATTATGTTTAGTAGCAAATTAAGTACGTGACTTAATTTTGGAATGCTACACTTTAAAATAAGCATAATATTTTAATTGTCCATGGTCTAATATTATTAATCTGGGACATTAATAATTAATAGACCATTATGTGAATTAACTGATGGCTATATTCCACTAGTCATGGGTATAGAGATATCAAGTTAATAACATAGATGCTTGTTAGTGAACAAGTTCATTGGACAGACCCAACTTGAGGACACTGCTAGGTTATATATCATCAGTGTTGTCCTCAATAATGATGAGGTGCTATATTCTTATACTTGAGATAATCATGGTTACTTGCATGCGAATTAATATGTATTAACACCATTAAATATTATTTTTAAATGGGTAATTATAAAGGTGGTGATTGTACATATTATGAACCATGTAGTGGTATGTGAATTATCAAGATAGTTTTTGTCACTCTCGTATAGCGAGAGAAAGATATCTATTGGGCCCCTTGACAAGTAAGATTAATTAGCATGGCCATGCTCAAATGAGGTGTCATTTGTTCAAAATTAATCTTACTTGGTAATCAAGAAATATTAATTGAGAATAACAAGGATGACATGACCTAACCTTGTCTCAATTAAGATATCGTTTGACAAAAGAGAATTATTAGCACAAATTAATCATTAAAAGGTTATGTCAGATTTAATTGACATTTACATATTTTGGATAGTCATAATACCTTGCTAAAGGTCGCTTATGATTTGTGAGGCTTGAATTAATTTTTTAGCTCACTGCCAATAATATATAAACCTACAGGGTCACACACCTAAGTGATTTGGATCATTAATGTTCGTTAATAACATTAAAATAGTCTGATTAGCCCAATTCGAAATAGGGTTTCGAATGGTATTGGGCTAGGGCCTCTTGGAGGGTTTTATTAGCTATAAAACTCCTTCTTTCCTCCTCCTATAAATAGGGCTATATAGACCCACGAATTTTAAGAGTTAAAATTCACTTCTAAAACCTAGAGTAGAGAGGAAGAAAAAAGAGAACGCTAGCACGTTCCCTGCGGCCGATCCAATCACGTGCGTGTGGATACCGGTAGAGCTCGGGATCGTTTTCTCGGACTGTCTGACATCCTTGATTAAGATTGCTATGTAAGTCCCTTTTATATCTTGTAATTTCGTTTATAGTAAGAACCTCAGATCCGGTTGTTTACTTTTGGACAGTATTTTTTTTGTTTATTCCGCTGCGTTTTTCTGCCCGAAACCCAACAGTGGTATCAGAGCCTACGGTTCTTTATTATATTCGGGTTACCTGATTTAATATATAATCAGTAATTTGATTATTTTGGGATTTTCGGAATTAATTTTTTTTAATTTCGGAATTAGTTTTTTTATTAATTTCAGAATTTATGTGTATTTATATTCCGAATTTTTTGGTAAGGATGTGATATTCGAATATTTCGAATTTGATCCCATATATATTCACAATTATATTTGGAATATTTTGTGATATTATTTATTATTTTTCGGATCAGATCTGAATGGAATTAGGAATTGGATAAAATCCTACATCCTAATTATTCGGAAGAGATCTGAATGGACATGAAAATTCAATAGTTTGAGTTGGATCCGAATTGACACTCATAATTTATGTTAAGAATATTTTATGATATTATTTATTATTTTTCGGATCAGATCTGAATGGAATTAGGAATTGGATAAAATCCTGCAGCCTAATTATTCGGAAGAGATCTGAATGGACAAGAAAGTTCAATAGTTTGAATTGGATCCGAATTGATACTCATAATTTATGTTAAGAATATTTTATGATATTATTTACTCCCTCAGTCCCAATTTGTAAGATACATTTACTATTCACTTGGTCAACATAAATCACTCTTAATCTTTTACTTAATATATCAAAAGTTTATGAATTTTGAATTATTTTTTGCAGGCTTTGTAACGGTTTTAATATAGTTTCTGAATATGTAAATTTCATTTTCTAAAACTAATCTGAGTGTTGACAGGGATCAATTTGCTTTATTGTCA